GGGGGGGCCCTTATCCGTGCAGTCATACGAATGGAAAAATCTATCGTTGCTTTTGAAGTTCCAACAACAAACACTAAACATTCCCACAGACCCAAATATTTGCACCTCCTTTTTGCTGATATGTCTCCTGCATAGTTGGGGCGGGGGGGGGGGGGGGGGAACCTACCTTCAACAATATATTTCCCCGTAATCTCTCCTAATGTTCTGACCCACACCCTTTTCCAACACATCAAATACAATTCAAATAGAACAGAAACCTTGTAATGCCTTTGCAAAATAATTAGCTGTGATAAGCACAAGCCTTGCCAAACTATGCAAGACTTGCCAAAAGATAACAGACAAGAAATAATTTGCAGTACAAGAATCTTCAAATATAAACTCAGGATACTGGAATGTCCACGAGGCTGGAGTTTCAAAATGTCTTTGCCTTCTGCAAAGTACGTTCATTTCACAGCTGGCTTTTATCTTCTTGAAGGAGGGGCCATTACCTTGCAGCCTTACTCCCGAGTTGCCCGTGCTGCTGCAACTGCTCTTTCCTGCGAGCAGCCCTGCGTGCACGCGCACTTGGCACAGGCTCCTCGGGAACCTCCTCATCGCTGTTGCCAGCCCCCACAATCTCTGAAGGCAGCAGTCCACTCCCTGATGGTCCTGGCCCCTCATCTGAGTCCTCACTCTCCTCAGCTGTCCGCACCTGCTGCCGGCTAACCACAACACCCAAATTATCCATTCTTTCTTGTACATGGCTCCCTTAAGACAAATGTTTTTGAGGGGATTTTTCCCCCTCTTTGGGGGGGGGGGGATGTTACATTATTTATTTCGATAGAGCACAAAAATGAAGCGTGCAGGCTGAGGGATTGCTGCAATCCTGTTCATGATTATTTCAGAAAGAGAAAAATGTGGTCAGGTTTCACTCAAATGTAAACTAAAGGCAATTTATCCCTATCTTGTTACATCCCCGAATCAGAGTGAATGTCTCAGTGCTCTTTTCAACAATAGCCCCCAGCGCACCGCTTACATTTTCTCATAAGAGCAGGTAAAAGTAACTTGAGACTTGGGGGTTTCCTGTGCTGAGTGAACTCAGTCTTTAATGCAGAACATTGGGATTCATTTAGCCCAGGATGGTAGACAGGGATTAATAGCGCGCTTCAAGCGGAAGGTTCTACCAGCCCATTTGAGAAAAACGAAAGACTGAACTGATGACTTCTACACGTCAAACACTTGCTCTATCCCTAAGCTAAGTCATCCCTCCCTGCCTTCAAAAGTTGTGGGTACTTCATCACTGGAGGGTTTTAAGAAGAGACTGGACAGCCACTTGTCTGAAATGGTATAGGGTCTCCTGCTTGAGTGGGGGGGTTGGACTAGAAGACCTCCAAGGTCCCTTCCAACTCTTTCACTCTACTCTACTCTACTCTACTCTACTCTACTCTACTCTACTCTACTCCATTCCACTCCACTCTACTCCACTCCATTCCTGTTTTCTACTTCACTCCACTCCACTATTCCATTCCATTCTGTTCCATTCCACTCCATCCCATTCCACTCCACTCCATTCCACTCTATTCCACTCTATTCCATTCCAGCTTTCTACTCCACTCTACTATTCCATTCCTTTCCATCCCATTCCACTCCACTCCATTCCATTCCACTCTACTCCACTCTATTCCATTCCAGTTTTCAACTCCACTCCACTCCACTATTCCATTCCATTCCACTCCACCCCATTCCACCACTTCACTCCATTCCATTCCTGTTTTCTACTTCACTCCACTCTTCCATCCCATTCCATCCCATTCCACCATTCCACTCCACTCCACTCCACTCCATTCCTGTTTTCTACTCCACCCCATTCCATTCCATGAAATCAATATCCAGTATGATTTTTGCCAGACGTAACTTGTTGCTGTGTGCAGGTCCAGGGAAAACCTGACACAATTTAGCAGAGTTGAGACAGGAATCCTTAATTGGGGACAAGTTGTTCCAAGCCTGTCCTAGTGAAACAAGGACAGAGAAAGCTGCCATATTGTTCTTAATTTAAGGGCATTTTATCCAACCAATATGGCAGCTTACTAAGGTTTCTGGGAGAGTTCAACTAACCTAAGAGGTCATTAAGGAGAAAGAGAAATGCAACTTGCCAAATATTATTCCACCTCTGTTCCTCTTTTACTTGTCAGATTATTGACGCTTTCTCTTTTTATGTATTTTAACATTCATGTAGTTCTTAGACTATTTTTTTTTTCAGTTCAACTGATAACATTTTGGGATTTGGAAGCACCGTGCTCAACACAAATGAATTTTCTTGGTAGATTGGCCACTGCTTTTATAAAATTAAAAATGGAAAACCAAGAGTTGCAGTTCTGTAATAATTGAAGATTTTTGTTGGAACTCAAAAGGAAGAATAATGCTTCTTGGGGGAATGTACCTGAAAAAGATCCAGAGCAATAGTTATAGTGCTTTGTAGCTAAAGATGAGCAGTGTCAGGCTGATTAGGTTCATCTGATGTGACAGAAATTCCTAGCAGAGTTGTGCACTGCCCAAATATTAGTTATAATAAAACCTTTTCTTTAGGTATGTTTTTCTGTAATTCAGATGCAAAGGCCCTGTGTGAATGTTAGATGTTTCCTTCTACCATTTCTTTTATTCTCCATTGGGATGGGTTCCTTCAGAAATTGAAAGCATGTTTTTTTGTATTTTACAGGTGATGAGATTCTCCTCATGAAAATAGGCAAGTTACAATCTCTTGAGTATGTCCTCACTCAGAAAAACAAAGCAATGTGGGTTATAGATTTAGCTTGCCTAAGTCCAAAAAAAGCAATGTGTCTGGCCAGTTTTAACCTCAGTTTTAACCTTTAACCTTAGCTTTAGTAAACAGTAACCTAGGTAATTTTAATAAACAACAACAACGCAACAGACTTGAGAAGAGAAACCAGGAGAAGGAATGTTGAGTTAGATCTTTTCCTTCTAAGTGTTGCATTTAGAATCTCACATGAGTGAAAGGAAGTGGTTGGAATAGAACTGGATTAGCTCTTTGAATATAATTAAGAAGAGTCCAAAATCGGCCAAATATGCATTTACTTATTATGAATATCAGTAATTGACTCTGAATTGATTATATGTATTTTAGCTTTGCCTCAGCCAAAAGCAGCAGCCAAAAGAACAAGAACAACAAAAGATTGCATCTAAAGAATTAACTAGAAAGAAGAAATTGACAGGTGACATTTATGATTACATTTTGCCTCTGGATTTTCTTTCCTAGCTGGGGATTGTTCAGTTGCAACTCTATTATGATTATTCCACTACCCTCTTTGGCTGGGTCTTATGTTCTATGCAACACTTAAAGACACAGGCAACTAGACATAGGCAGAACATGGGCAGAACAGCTCAAATATAACATCATTCTCTTCCACATGGTTCAGTCTTCCATCGGATTGAGATTTCCATCAGATTTTTAATCCCATTACAACAGTGAAAGCTTTCTTTCCACAGAAGCCAAACAATGAATGTTTCATTGACAATATGGGATGTTCATGGACATTCTAGAACTTCACTCTAGTTCAGTACTGGAAACATGAGCACCATCCAAATATACCAACCCATATTTCTCAACGTTGACAATCTAAAGATGTATGGACTTCAGTTCCCAGAATTCCCTGGCCAACATGTTAGCCAATATGTTGGCTGAGGAATTCTGGGAGTGGAAGTCAACACATCTTCAGGTTGCCACTGATTTAGATAAAGACATTAGAATTGGGCAGAACTATCCCTAAGAGCTGTTGGAGTCTGAGTTTGACCTCAGTTTGTTCCCTATCCTAATCTCTCCGGCAACATTGAATTGTTAAATAGGGCAAGCAAAACCTTTGCCAGACCAATTCTTGAATATAGCTCATCCAGCTGGAACCCTCACTGTATATTGGACATTAACACAATTGAGCAACTTCAGAGGTATTTCTCAAGAAAAGTTTTCCACTCCTCCACTCCCAATAGAATTTCCGATGCTTCCAGGCTGGAAATTCTGGACCTGGACAATCTGGAACTGTGCCGCCTGTGGTCCAAACTAAGCATGTCTGCTACAACAAAATTGTTTGCTACAACGTCTTGCCTGTCAATGACTTCTTCAGCTTCAACCACAACAATACACGGGCAAACAACTGATACAAATTCAAAGTAAACCACTCCAAACTCGATTGCAGAAAATACGACTTCAGCAACAGAGAGGTCAATGCCTGGAATGCACTACCTGACTCTGTTGTTACAGCCTCAACCCCTCACAGCTTTAATCTCAAACTGTCTACCATGGACCTCACCCCATTCCTAAGTGGTCCTTAAAGGGGGCGTGCATAAGCGCACCAACGTGCCTACTGTCCCTATCTTACTGTCCCCATTTATCTGTATTTTCTCCCTTTGTTTATGTTTATGTTCATACCTATACTTGTTATCTTGTACCTGTTTGACAAACAAATAAAATAAATAAAATAAATACCACCTGAAGCAACTATTTCATGATACCTATGGTAGGGCTGCTATCCCCTTTAATCATCTTATTTGTTTTCAGAACTCTGATATTCTTCTACTTTGTTCCTGCTTACCAAACCTTCACTGGGCATGATGCTGGTAAGATGAACAACTTCAAGATGAGCTGACTGAGACACCAGAGAATCTGATGAAAGAGAGATGATATGATCACAGATACCAGACAGCGTTTTACACTGTGGGAAAGGAGGAGAGAAAAAGAGAGAGAGAGAAAAAGAATTCAGCACAAAACATTGTAATGGAAGCACAAAGACTCACATCCAAACATTATCTGCCTGGTGCGCATCTATTTGAACCAGAAAATATTCACAAGTATTTTTTCCCTCCACTTCCCTAATTATTACCAAGTTTGACATCATGGAAAGCTCCTCTTGTTTTGTTTTGCTTGCTGTTTTTCCACCCCCTGAGTGTAATGTGTAAACTAAGCCATTGCAATTTTGGGATTGGGTTGATGGGTTAATCCAGCCAATTGGTTAACAAAACAAGCTTTACAAATATGGGATTCAAACTGCATTATGAAATCATCTGTTTGCTATCCTTTCATGGCATCTATAGGATAAAATCCTATCTCCTTCTGTTTATTAGTAGGTCTATATCTCTTTGCCTGGTCAGTTCTTCTGGTTCTTTCCCCCAAAAAACCTTTTTATGAGCCCCACTTTTTGCAGCGTTCTCTGAATAGGATTTGAGCAAACTAGCACCAATGCCTTTAACAAATGTATCTAATCATGCAGTAGTTTGCACAACCCAGGATCCCAAGTTGCTAGGGGACAAGTGGCTGAACATTGTTAGTATGCTAATTGACACATCATTCTTATTCTTCCTAGAAGAGTCATTTAAGTGAGGAACCATCCAACAGGCACCACCCGGAGCAATTCTCACAGGGCTTATTGAACGATGCTTAAGAAATGAACAACTAAAACTAGGCTTATAGGCAATATCTTTGCCTTCCTGGGTAAAGCTAAAGGACTACCCATCTCAGCATGTTTCTCTTGTCCATAATATCCCAGAGCTGGTCCAGATTCAGCCTCTTTTTAATGCATTGAATAGCTTAGCATTTTCTTGGGCTATCTGTTCCACGGCAGAAGCTGCCTTGTTCTCCTCACTGTTCCATCACAGTGAATTGACAGCATACTGAGGCATAGTGTTGGTGTTGGTGAGCAAGCTACAGCCGAAGGCGCACGCCACTCGGTTCCCTTCCCACCAAAGTGGTCGCTATATTTCTACTTGTATTTTTACATGCTTTCAAACTGCTAGGTTGGCGGAAGCTGGGACAAGGAATGGGAGCTCACTCAGTTATGCAGCGCTGGGGATTCGAACTGCCGACCTTTCTGATCGACAAGCTCAGCATCTTAGCCACTGAGCCACCATGTCCCTCTTTCTGTACTGTATTATTATTCCCCAATATGGCTATCCATTGCTTGTTGGAAACTTACAGCAAAGGAGAATGAAGCATCATTGTTCTAATTGGTTCTGTGACCAAACTGTCAATTTGTCCATTGTCAAACAGTTTTTCCTAATATTTCAGGAAAGCCTTTCCTTTTCTCTTATCAGTCAATATGTCCAAAGCTGAATTGATGCCTTAGACATTTTCCATTGTTTGCCTTTTCTTCCTGTGAATGTTGTGCAGAGGATTGCTTGCTAGGACATTTGAAACAGCACAAAACTGCCTTGTTCAGCATGAACATTTTGCGTTGTTCATTTGTTTTCTGAGAGGCATTCAAAGATTAACCTTTGACCAAAGGTACTTTAGGTATTAAATTTTGGCAGGAAAATTCATACATAATGAGAAGAAGGGGGTGGTTTTCTTCAGTGCAATTTGGCAAGGTACAAAATCAGGCCATATGCAGATTAGGCTCAAATGATCAAAGGTTAGCTTTGGGTTTATCGCTTTCATATCTTCATATAACTAGAATATGATGATATTTTCTGATTTCCTTTTGCTACCACATTGTAACTGCAATCTAAACCAACTCTTTGAGGTGTTATGGCACTCAGAAGACCAAGATACCTTTCGTTGAAAACAAAAAACAAAAGAGAATTGTGGTATCTAGGAGTAGGCTGCTGGAGTTATTCTCTTAACATAACATTAACGTTGTCCAAATTTGGGGGCAGTTTATGATTAGCCTGTAAATTTCAACTCTACTATCTGAAGTCTCAGAAGCAGCCCCAAATCATGCAGTCCTACCTTGACATGGTGATTAAAAAAAATAAATGGAATATACAACACTGATGAAAGAGTTATGCCTCACTCTGATAAAAAGAATGACCATTATTAAAGCAGAAAATTGATGCTAGCTATCTGCCTTCAGAACACAGACAAGCTTCTGCCCCTTCAGTCTAAAACTAAGAAAGAAATAGACGAAAGGTTTTGCTGCCCTAAATTGCATATATACAGTGGTCTCATTTGTAAACTTGCTGGAATTCTTGTAGCATAGCCTTAAGCTTTCCTTTAATATATTAATGACAGTCCTGAGATTCTAGTTATCTAAATTAACTCTTTCCAGTCTAGACTACAAGGAGGGAAGTCCAACAGCCCCAGACAAGCGTAAAATAAAAAGTGGTTATAGAAGGAGCATCGATACCAACAGGCTCATATTCACATAATACATAGCACTTTGATAAATTCAATCTGAGTGTAAGCAGGAAGCATCCTTTTTAAAAAATGCTGATTACTGACCCTTTTGTAGAAAAAATTAAGCTCAGGTGGCTATCGATCAGTGACATTCCAGGTATGATAAGTGTCTACCAATATTTGCAATTGTAATCTTTAATTAAGCAAAGGATCATGATGAATTTCATACATGTAATGCCATCATAATTAACATGATGTCTCTGCACATTTTTTAAAAAAAGAATTCTATAAATAGTGGAAGGATTAGAATAATTGTTTTGGAGTGTTTTGGCAGTCAATATAGATTTATAAACTGAGTGTTCACAAAATGACATTCGCTATAGATAAGGCATTTTAGTTCCATCAAATGTTGCCCACTTTTGTACTAGATTATATTGGAGAAAAACTAACAATATTTGTATTACTACAAGTAGGAGAATATAAAGGGAGTACATTTCCCCCCCCTATTCGGCGTGGACTCATCTTCTTTCAGAAATGGCCATCATTTCCATTACAAAGATAGGAGGTCAAAATCAAGCTGTTGATTTCTCAACGGTTTTCTTCCCTTGCTCAAAAGATTTCTGAGATATTTACAATTGCCGACAATCTATGACTTCCTCAAAACTATACACACACGGTTCCTTCAGCCATATGTGCCAGCACCTTCCCTGGTCCTTAGGCAGAAAAGAGACATGAGCATCCTGAAAACATGCCACGAATGATCTGGTAACTTTGGTAACTTTCTGTGAGTAGGGTAGTATCTCTGCTCTGCCCCACAGTTGGACTCCTCTCCCTGTCCCTTCCTCTCCTTCTCCCACTCTCTCTCCCCTCCCTCTCCTCTCTCCCTCCTCTTCTCTCCTCCCCTCCCTCTCCTCTCTGTTTCCCTCTCCCCTCCTCTCCCTCTCTCTCTCCCATTCCTTCTCCCACTCCCTCTCTCCTCTCCTCTCCTCTCCCCTCCTCTCCCTCTCCTCCTTCCAGAATGTCCACTTCTCAAGTTGAGGTGGATGCAAATAGATTTTGAAGGACAAAGTCACGACTGATGTACGTTGCATTAGTCACCTATTTGGGTTCGCTGCCTTGATTGTCTGGATCGCAACCTTAGGCCAAATTATTTTAAGTAAAACAAATTAAATTAAAAAAAAATGTGAGAGGAATCGCTATCGTCATTTTTGGGCTAAATAACTGCAATTCTAATGGGGCTTCCACATCAGAGGAACACCTTAAATCTCTTCTAAATCACATTAAGCCAGCAATCAATTCCCTGCATTCGGCGTGTTTTTCTCAAAGCCAAATGTGTACAGCAGTACAGTCCTGATTTGCAAAATAATGATTTCCAATGAGGTAGACTGCACAAAGCATCAAGCACACCCACCCCAAGCTACAATGGGCACTTACCACATGAAGAATTTTATTTTCTGTTTCATACACTGTGCAATCCTGCAAAAGAGAAAGGGGAGGGGAAGAATTCTTAAAACTTCCACAGAATTCTACTTTGTTCAGTTAGATTAGCTGCTCCTTGAAAAATAGCACGTTACTCTGCTTCAGATGACAATCCATTGGAGTGCTCCAATCGGATTCCATCTGCTAATAGAGAAATAAATCTATCTATTTATCTCATTTTTGACACCGCCTATCTCTCCTAAGCTGGCAGTTTGTGATACAAACATAAAAAGTGGTATAAAACCATAGATACAACAAAGTTAAAATAGAGTTAAGAACAACATTAAATTAAAACATTGCACCTTTTTAAAAAGCAGATCACATCACCAGCCACCCTCAGAACTGCATATCACTCTTTGACCCTCATGCCACTTGGCAAAGTGGGTCTTAATTCTTACTATTCCAAACTTAACATGACCAGTAAGTACTTGGAGTCAACTGCAATGCAGAGGTAGTTGGGTTGGAAAAAAGCAAACCATAATTTTTAATGGCATGCAAAAATATCTTAAAGATTATTTGCAACTTTCTGGAAAGAAGGTAAGAGAGAGAGAGAGAGGGAGAAGGAGGGAGAGAGAGGGAGGGAGGGAGGGAGGGGAGAGGGAGAGAGGGAAAGGGAGAGGGAGGAACCCTATGCCAGCACATTACATTGAGTTAAACTCTTTCGGTTCTAACTTCCATTACGAAAGATGGTTAAACAAATATGTCGAAGGGGAACACCAATTTAACTCGCCTAAAAAATAATGCCAGCAAAAAATCTGTACACCAGAGATTTTTCTGCCATGTACCTTAGAGTAAGCGTCCATCCAGGACAATCTACATCCTGTTTTACCCTTTCTTACAAATAGTAATTATTTTCCCATTCTCTTTTATAGTCTTCTGTTGTTCGGCGTTGATTTACCCAGGAAGGCTACGACATCTTGAAAAGTGTACATTTTATGTGTGTTTGCATTTCTGGTAAAGTGGTGCTAAATGTTCCCTCTGCACTTATTTTGACCCTTCCCTCCCCTTTCAGGTAGATGGGAAAAAACAGCTCCAGGCCAAAGAGAGGTTCCAAGGAATTTTCATGACTGAGTGGCAGGTTTCTTGCTGTCACCTGAATTACAGGTAACTCAAGTACCAAGCATGAGAGCTCTGCTTTTTACCGAATTTGTTGTTCAGCCACCTGCAGGCTCTGTTGTTTATCAAGGCTCAGTTAAATTCCCAAGGAGCTTTCAAGAGAATAACAAAAGGGTAATTCTTTTCCTTTGCCCAGTCATGTTTGAGTCTAGAAATGAATTGGAGATGCACATCTCCATTTCATAGCCGAGCGAGCCAGCATTGTCCAAAGACATTTTTGTGGTCATGTGGCCAGCATGGCTATACACCAAAGGCACATGGAACATGGTTACCTTCTCCCACTAAACCAAGATAAAGGTAAAGGTTCCCCTCACACATACATGCTAGTCATTTCCGGCTCTAGAGGGTGGTGCTCATCTCTGTTTCAAAGCCGAAGAGAGCCAGCGCTCTCCGAAGAAGTCTCCGTGGTCATGTGGCCGGCATGACTAAATGCTGAAGGCGCACACAGTGCTGTTACCTTCCCACCAAAGGGGTTCCTATTTTTCTACTTGCATTTTTACATGCTTTTGAACTGCTAGGTTGGCAGAAGCTGGGACAAGTAACGGGAGCTCACCCCATTACGCAGCGCTAGGGATTTGAACCACTGAACTGGTGACCTTTCTGATCGACAAGCTCAGCGTCTCAGCCCCTGAGCCACTGTGTCCCCTCCCACCAAAGTTGTACCTGTTAATTTACTTGCATTTGCATGCTTTCAAACTGCTAGGTTGGCAGGAGCTGGAGCAAGGAACAGGGGTTCACCCCCATCGTGTGACACTTGGGTCCTGAATTGTCAACCTTCCAGTCAACAAGCCCAGCATTTTAGGCCACTACACTTCCATCAAGAAGATGACAGGGAGCAATTACGTCAATTTTGGTGAATGTACTTCACTCTTATCCTAGCCACAGAGTTACGCCATCACTTTATTTACCTATTCAGCCATGGGGTTAGTAAACAAATGCCAGCTGTTTTGCAAAAACGCTCATACAGTCTTCTCCAAGGATTATGCATTGGCAGAAAGAAGTTAAGTACCCCCAACCTGCTACAGTTCTTGATCTACCCGTAAGACTTGCTTTGCTTCTGTTAAGGTTATTTTTTTTCTCCACCTTGAAGGAATAATCTCAGTTTGACTCCAGTAAATCAGGACTGTCTGCAGACAAATTCAGTGAGAGGCAACAACTAAGCACAAATCCTGACGGTATAAAAGAGATAACAATGACATTAGCATTTCTTTTTTGAGTGGGTGGGTGGGTAAGAACAGAATAGAATAGAACAGAATAGAATAACAGAGTTGGAAGGGACCTTGGAGGTCTTCTAGTCCAACCCCCTGCTTAGGCAGGAAACCCTACACCACTTCAGACAAATGGTTATCTAATCTCTTCTTAAAAACTTCCAGCGTTGGAGCATTTACAACTTCCGGAGGGCAAGTTGTTCCACTGGTTAATTGTTCTCACTGTCAGGAAATGTCTCCTTAGTTCTAAGTTGCTTCTCTCCTTGATTAGTTTCCAGCTTCTTGTCCTGCCCTCAGCTGCTTTGGAGAATAGCTTGACTCCAGGGATCTGACCAGCATAACAACTGGTTTCGGGGAGCACACACATGCTCGTCAAATGTGTGCTGCACACATGTGCACGCTACTGGCTCCGGCAAGCCTTTACCTTCTCCAGCTGATGAGCAGCACTCAGCTGTTCCACACAAAGCAGCTGTGGAGGAAAACACTAAAGGACAGCCTAAAGCCTGGGTGGGCAAGAGGGCCAAACAGCAGACCAAAACCTCATTCCAGCGAACCGGTTCGGTGTCAGCTGCTCTTCGGAACTACTGGTTCAATAGAACTGGACCGAACTGGTAGGATCAGTGGTGGGATTCAAATAATGATTTCTTCCAACAACCAATTCACCAAACTGCTCAGAAGGTTAACAACCGGTTCTCCCGAAGTGGTGCAAACTGGCACCACTGGGTAGGATCCCACCGCTGCTTGATCCCCTCTTCTTTGTGGCAGCCCCTGAGATATCAGAACACTGCTAACCCTGAATAGACTTCTCCAGCACAAGATGCAAAACATAGACTAATCTCAGAGGCTTTGAACTAACTACTGAGATGTTTGGGCTTCTAGGTCTGGGTCACACGAGCTTGTTTGGTTTTGGGAACAGGGATCGTCCCACTTTAGAGAACCAGCTTGGTATAATGGTTAAGGGCCCTAGAGTAGAAACCTGGGAGATGGTGAGGGCTTTTTTTTATTATTATTGGCAGTGGTTTTTAGGATGGAGGATTTAAAAGAAAAAGATTTTTATTTTTTAAGACAAACATATACAAACAAAACCTTAAAAACATAAGACCACCTTCCATTTTATATACATACAGCGTGTCAGTTGGTGACAAATCTTTTGGGCTATCCTTTCGTAGTCATCACTCACAATTTATGTAAATTCTCACATTGTCACTCTAACATATGCTCATATATTTATCAGTTATTAATCATTCATGACTAAACTATTTATTATGATGGACGATTTTAATGATGTTTTTTAATGTTTTATGTTGTAAGCCAGCCAGAGTTATTGGATACAGGATGGGTGCCAAATTGTCAGAGTATATTCATGAAGCGGAATAGAGCTTGGTAACAAGGTCAGCCAATGAATAGGCATAGCAACTAAATCAGCCAATGAGGATAGTTTGGAAACTGAAACTAGAATTAGCCTAGGCTGGAAACTGAAACCAAAAGTAGCTTACGTGGCTCTTTGTAAGCTCTGCAGCTATGTTGAGCTCTTGAGTTTGTCCATTGAAGAGGAAACTAACTTGCTTGCTGAAGACTGGAGCTCTGCTCTGAACTTGCAACATGTTTCTGTTTGAGTTTGCTCCATGTTGGAGAAATCTACAACTGGTTTGTAAAATCTTATTATGTTTATAAAGACATTAAATGAAGAATCAGCCATCTGTGTTTATTTTTCTGGCACTGAATTATCGCTGCGAAACTCTCAATACAAATACATTTTATAAATAATGGATATTATTTATAACATTCATTAAATAAATGGATGGATGGATGGATTCTTATTTTTTTTCTCTCCTAGTGTTGTGAAAAATAAAGCTTGGAAGATGAGGAAGAGGATGTAAAAAAACGTTTCTATTCACATCACTATTTTAGGGCACTTGCTGGGAAGTATCCTTCCCATTATTTCTTATGCCAATGTTCAACAATTGTTTTCTGAAAGAAACAATGACACTGGAATACATCACACGGCGCAAGTCCACATGGAATCTGTTCAAAGACAGGGTCATGCTTGCACGGCAGACAATCTTATCAATATATTCTGGTTGGGTTTTTAAAAAATGTTTGTCTTAGCGACAGTTTCCCCCATGGGCTGTCTCTCACCAACACGCGAGCATGGATGGATGCACACAAACACGGACAAGTCAGACGTCAGCTACAGGCAGAAATGGCCGCAGTGTGTATGTGGCTTTGTTTGCTCAGTTGTAAACCTCCTTCCAGGGAGACTTCATGAGAAAGACAAACATGAGCTGGGTGTGTGTGTGGAAGAAACAGACAGAGGGGGAGAGAGGGGGGGGGGGAAGAAGGAAGGAGAGAGGGAAGGAGAGGGAGGAAGAGAGGGAAGAAGAGAGGGGGTGGGAGGCAGAAGGTGAGAGAAGAAGAAGGAGGGAGGGAGAGGGTGAGAGAGGAAAAGGGAGGGAGAGAGGGGGGAAAGAGGAAGGGAGAGGGAGGAAGAAGTAGGGAAGAAGAGAGAGAAGGTGTGGGAGGAAGAGAGAGGGTGAGGAAGAGAGGGAGGAAGGGAGAGGGAGGAAGAGAGGGAGGGGAAAGGTGGAGGGAGAGAGGGAGGAAGTGGGAAAGAGGGAGGGAGAGAAGGAGAGAGGGGGGGAAGGGAGAAAGAAAAGGTTTTCAAATGGCATT